GCGACCACGCTAATGCCTACGCTTCTCCTTCCTGGGAGCAAGCAGGAATGCAATTCCAGATACTTCCACCTCCAGTAACTCAAAGAAAAAAACTCACAAGGCTAACACAGGCTTACCTGGTGGGGAAGGCCCTCCCTGCCTGGAGTCTACCAGCCAAACCATCAAGAAGAATTTATTCCAGCGCTGTCCGAAAAAGAATTTAGCTGCGGGAAAACACGTCCGCACTCGACGACTCCAAGCAGGAAGAGGGCTCCCATCAGTCGAACAGTCAAGGACATAGGGCACAAGGATGACGTAAGCACGCCACGGATTATAGAATAAACAGGTGAAGAGTGGGAGGAGCCGCTGCTGCCATCTAGAAGAGGGGACCTCTATGCAATGAGCCGAAAAGATCGGCTCAAGAGCATGAATTCTCAGTAAATTCATTTTAAAAATATACTGGGTGGTTCACAACATGGAATACCTGTGTTACGAGTTCAGTTGCCTATAGGGTAACACCCCAGAAAATCTAGTTTTCTGAAAGACATACACATCACAATTTTTTGTGACAAAATCTTACCAACCAAAATTGGGGTGCAGTTTACACACAGATTATCATTGAATCCAAGTTTTTCTTTAATTCATTGTTGTCACTGAAATGGTTTCTTGGGTTTTTTAAAAGTTTCTAGTTTGAATGGTGCACTGAAACTATTCAAAACTCTGGAATTGGAATCTGCTAATTCAGGAATCAGCAGCGTTATTACATCTTGCTACACTGTTCTTCTTTAAACTTCTGTTTCCTCAAGCGCTGAATTTTCCTTGTTGAACTCCATTTTCCAAATAAATATACAAGGGTTGGAAATTTAATAATGGCAACACTGCTGTAGACGCCATGCAACGGAACCAAATAATGTCGCTTATACCACACGTTGGTTACATACCTACCTTACCTCAGAGCAAATGGACTCTCCCTTCCCACATCACGCGCATGCGCAGTGACGAGAAGAACAGAGCCTCGAGTTAGCTGGCGGTCTAATGTAGTGTTGTCACTATGTTTTCGAGACAGGGACGACAGAGTTGGATAAAGATCGAATGTGCCAGAGGCTGTACAGCATGACAGTGTCATCAAGGTCTTCAAGAGGCTTGCGGGGAATCTGCATTGCCTTACAGAACAGTGGCAAGGTGGGTAAAAGCCTTCAATGAGGGACACCAAAATGTGGCAGACATGCATCGGCCAGGTTGTCCTAGTGTCAGTGAAGAAGAAGTGTATGCTCTTTCCGCATTACTGGAGAGTGATCAATGCCATACAATTTGTGAGCTGGCCCGAGAGGCAGGATTAGTGCATACAACTGTCCTTCACATTCTGAAGGAACGCCTGGGCATGAGAAAAATTGCATCACGATTGGTTCCGCATGATTTGACGGAAATGCAGAAATGGCAAGCTGTGGCTGATTTGTTCAATCGATGGGGCTGGGAACTGCTGTACCATCCACCATATTCCCCGGACTTAAGCCCTTGTGACTTTGACTTGATTCCTAAGATGAAGGAACCACTTCGTGGCATTCGCTTCAGAACTGTTCCAGAGATTCTTCAGGCAGTAGACCGCTCCATTCGAACTATCAACACAACAGGCACTGCTAAAGGTATCCTATGACTTCCACGTGGCTGGCAACGAGTTATACACAATGCTGTTGACTACATTGAAGCACAGTAAAACTTTGAAACATGCATCTGTTTTGTATCAGTTGTAAATAAATAGTTGCCACTATTAAAGTTCCAACCCTCGTACTTGAAGAAATATGGCTGAACCTGACATAAATTATTTTAAAAACTTAATTATGTATGCAGACACCACATGTTTGAATCCAGTTTTACAAACCATAAACAAACACTTGAAAATGGATGCCATGTTGTGCTATCTGAGAACTGTAAGACATGCAGTAGGTGGTTGTGCACGGCTTTCATTCAAGCCAGGCACTGTGGTCCTTACCTTATCATCTAATGATGACACAGATTGTTTCACTGACTGCTGTCATTATAATTTGCTGCATGTCAGATGGTAGCTGTTGTAGACAATGGCTGAAGCTATGATCCATATAGCCGAACTATGAGCTGTAAATTTTTAGTTATTCATGTGCAGAGAAGGAAAATTTTGGAATAATAATGCTGCAAATAGTAGGCAGTCATGAAAAATTTAGGCTCCTGGGAGACTTGGTGTCTGGGAATTGTAGACGTCTGGTCCAAGCTACTGAGTTGAATGAACCATAAAGATGGGAGGGCCCTCAAATAGTCTTAGGCAGTTTTACTTTCATGGCCCCACATATTAAGGACATTGCTTAAACTAGTATATTTCATTAGGATCCAAAATTTTCTTATGAGGTTCACGTAAGAGGTTTTGCTGTAAATAAATTTGAATTTATATGTTCTCAGGATCCAATTGGACAGATAGATCTCAGTACATGCATCACAAAGGATGTGAATCAGGTATCACGTACTGTTTGTGCACGGCCACATACATTTTTATTGACAACTGTGCAACCAGCATTGCCTGGCGATGAGGATTCTCTGGTCCTAGAACGACGTGGCCCACACACTGTCATTCGGTAAATAAAGTTATTTTCTTATTTGTATGATCATGTTCAAATTTGACTTGGATTCCTTACTACTGCCTCTTTCATTCCTACAATTCGCACTGCAGTCCCTCAGAATACATTTTGTCTCGTGTTCTGAAACTTGCTATACTGCAGTTTGAAGGAAGACTTTTGGTGAGCGTCCTGTCCACTCCCAGATTATTTTTATATGCGTAATTTGACTTGATTTATTTTACTATACCATTGTCATGTTTTAATTTTTATTTTCCTCAGAACTTTATCTAAAAAAATATCAATCCTTATTTGTCTCTCGGAATCAGGGTAAGAGATCACGTTCTCATTTGATTTCAGTTTGCAGTCAGAATCAAATATTACATTTTTCTCTGGTGTGACTATTTTTAAAATAATTAACCTCTTGAAGATTTCTTTAAATTGCGCCCTTCCTGTACTTGCAGCTATGTTGAAATGGCGGCTATCTCTGCTGTTGCAGTGTTACCTTATTTTTTAATGTATTCTGGTTTATATCAATAAGATATGCATTCTTTGGTAAAAGGGAGAACAAGAAGAGCATAAGGTTGCTATTTGTTGATTAGAAGATGAAATACTAGCATAATCAAAGTGGAAACCTCAAATATTAAAGACATGGGTATGACTTAAAGAGTGGCTGATCACATCTCAATAGACGTTTTTAGTTGACGGTGGCTTAATATGCAATGAACATGAACTAGTTTCTATTTACTAGCTTTAACTTTCCAATCTTTGTGGATGAATTTTCTTGTGTTTTACAGACACCTACTGTCAGCAGACACACGGGAGGATCGCCTTCTGTGGTGTACACAACTTAACAAGACTCTGGACATGTTGAGGGCTTGGGGGAGTAATCTTCCAGTTAGTCCCAAGTCTTGCATTCAGAAGTCTGCTAACTGTAGTTGAATTGCAGTTACCTTCAATCATTGAACTGTTTTGTGGAAACTTCTGCTTGTTTGACTTTGTAAAGAGAAATATTTTTTTAATGCTTATAAGAGAGGAAAGGTAGCACTTAATATTTAAAAATTTGCACTAGTATTGAAATAGCTTGCTTGTACACTGTGGGTTTGGGTCATGCTCGAACAATATAATGCTCAAGGATGCATGAATATATTATAATTTAAATTCTAAAGGGCTCTAACAAAGCTGTATAACACTCAGAATTACTGACTTGATGATGGACAAAGTCAATTCTTTAAGGGAAAGACAGTCCACTGATTCAGTAGAAACTTTTAGATTTAAATGAAGAGCTGAAATTATGTAAATTTTAACAAATATCACCAATGTTCATTGTTTTTAATCACATTTTATAACTTTTCATAACAGGCTGTTATATATATATAGTTTTGAATTGTCCTTGTCTTCATAAGCTCATAGCCTAACAGCAGGTAAATGTGAATTTGCTGTTATTTATTACAAGTGGAGAATTAGTCATAGTTTTAATTTTTATCATTCATAAGTCCATCTCCCAAATGCACCTGTTAAATATACACCTCATACATCCATGATCTTCTTAGTTACAGCAATGGGCTCAGATATTTATTTGTTCAATCTTCAAGGAGTGCATCCTTTTGTGTTATCACTGCGTATATATATTGGTTTTTACTGTCGACAACAAATCGCCAGATATTTCACTCACAGTTTTATGGTGTTAATTGTACATTTATTTGGGTTAAAATACAATTTTGCTATGTTTGTGCTTTTCATGAAGCCATCATCAGGCAATACATTCTACAAACTTAAATTATCAAGTCTGTAATTTGTATATGGATCCATATTGTAATGTGTTTTAAGTTCGGATCCCACTTTTGACACCAGTGTAACATGTTTGGCTACTGAAGACGCCGTTTGGATTGTTAATTGGTTTTATTAACAACCTACAAGTCGTAAATACAATTAATTATGACACTGTTATGGGTTTACACAATTTACAAACCCTACACACTAATCTATTCACTCTATCTTCAGTAGTCTTCACTTATTTACAGTAAAACATGGGAGCTATACAAGTGTCACTAAATTACACACTCCCAATACCTTCTCAGTTATCACCACTATCACTAATTATCACACATAAAATCTTCTAACCATGCATTTGGTTCTTCTTCCACAGCTGCTATATTTCAACTGAACTTATAACTTCTTCATAATTCACTTGATACAGCTGAACTCAGTGACTGCTAGACTTCAATTGAACTCCTTAGGCACTCACATAAACCCTTAGTCAGACAGCGAAAAACGCACCTCACTTCACTGTTGCATAATTGCCATGTTTACGGAGGTGTTGCTGGGCAACTCTGCCGAGAGATGTTTATTGCAACGCTGCGTAGCAACCAGCGCACTTTGGCTCGGCTAGGCATGGAGAAACACCGCTTTCCTTACTGTTGCATAACTTGGCAATCAACCGTTTATCAAGAGCCTGTCTTCGTGGTAACTCGTTCCACATCCCGTTGCCCAACAATGGTTTGACATGTCACAATATCTTACAGTTTTGTCCATTATTATAATCAGTTCCTAATGTTTGTATGCACATTATCACTTATTTGCTGTATAGGGATGTATTGATTAATTTTAAAATTTTAATATTAACTTCAAGATTAGTTTAAAATTAAAGAAAGTAAAATCATTAAAATTTAATGGGACTATAAATTAGTATCCATATACAAATTACAAACTCAGTAATTTAACACACTGATATATTGGGTTTTTGGACTTTATCCATCGTCCTAGTTTTTAAGATAACAAATAAAAACACGACGTTTCGGAAACTGGATCTGTTTCCATCCTCAGGTCCAAAAACCCAACATATCAGTGTGTTATACACCATCGTCAGAATCCTATAGTAACTATCAGTAATTTAAGTTTGTAGAATGTATCGCCTGATGATGGCTTTATGAAAAGCCAAAACATGTAGTGAAATTGTATTTTAACCCAAATAAGCGTACGATTAACATGATAAAAATGTGAGTGAATTATCTGGTAATTTGTAGACAGTAAAAACCTATGTATATATAGACATTTACTTGTTCATTCTCGTAAGTTCACTAGCCCTGCGGGAAATATAATTTGTCAAACTGACATATAATATTTTAAGAAAACAGCTAAAATAGTGAATGCTGCATAGCATCTAATCTTGTGCAGTTTAATAAGATGTGAGATTTAGATTTTAAAATTGTTCTGCATAAACAGAATGATTGAAGTTAAATTATGGTCATGTAGGATGTGACACCATATAGTCTGGTAAGTAGATACCGTGGAGAAGCCATGTTCATCTGAAATGTTGGTATCCACCTGTAAGACTACATGGTGTCACAAACCAGAACACCGTAAGTCTCAAGTAGAATAGTATTTCCTCTGACTTGGCTTGTGTGTTGAGACACTGCGATATTGTAGGTGGGTACTGATGTTTCAGAGAAGCACACTTCCCCCATCCTCAGGGTTGAAGTGTGTAAGGTGAGGAATTAGTTCAGTTGTGTTGCAGGTTGCATGGTAGAGGTGAGGAAGTGGAGCCCAGTCTGTCCAATGGGAATGGTGAGGAGCTGTGTGGAGGTGTAGGCAAAATATTCCTCTGAAATGTTGGTATCTGCATGCAAGGCTACATGGTTCCATAATCTGAAGACCACATTATTATGGAATAATTGATAACACTGTCCAGTCTGATTCAATTTGTAGATATTTAATGACCTTACATGTTTCAGTCAGCTGTGACCATCTTCAGAAGACAAAATCAACATGTTTAGGAACTACTATTACAAAGCTCATAATACATATTTAAAAGCTATCATATAAAAATTATTTAGAATAAAAATCATATTGAATCACACTGGACAGTGTTATCAATTATTCTATAATAATTTACTAGTGTGATGGTCCAGAATGAATAAAGTTAAGAAGACTACAAGTGTGGACAGTCAGTCATGAAAACTTCAGATCCTAAGTACGATAACATTCATTAACCTTTAAAGTATGGACTTTTAAATGTTGAGAGCCTGCTGTGGCTGGAATTTAAATGACCCTAAGTCTTTAAAGTTGCAGACTTTCAGAAAAAACTACATATTTTCTGTTCTATGCCATATAGAAATATGAACTAAAAACAGCCTGAAAAACAATTAAATTTTCTATGTATACAGAAAAGAGCAATATTTACAAATGAAAATATACTGTGATTATTTTGTCATGAATTGCAAAATATCTTTTATTATATATATTATGAAATTCCAAAGGGCTTACCCATAGTTTTTTCTCGAAACTTCAGACATGTTGATTTTGTAAAAATTAATCTCACTATAAATAATCCTTTGTTCAGACTGTATGCGAGTATGAACTGTGTCACTTCACAGTTTATGATAACTCCATTCAGTGCTCACACTTTGACGTGCGTGTGCCACTGGTCGAAGCAGTCCTGGACACACAGACCAACATCACAAATTTACAATAGAAGAGGGTGTTCCTGGTTTTCTTATTTAGTGAACACACATGACGTCTTTGTTTCCTTTTGGGTGGCCAATGTTGCAAATGTTTCATCTCTAGTCGACTCAGTTGGGCCCCAGATGAACTTGGCTTCCCCCGAGAAACACCATTGACCATGATATTCACCTCATGCGACTGTACAAGCAAATCTCGCACTATGATTTTGCAGAATTTTTTACATGTCATTTTTCCATATGACTTGTGCAATAAATAGGCATTGAGAATAGTCATGTCTAGAAGGAGGCAAAACAATTTCTTTGCCGATTTCCATGTCCCGCGGGCAATTCCATAACTATTTACCATCCTGTCAGATTTATCCATAAAGCCCAATGTGCATTGTTGTCTTCAATGATTTTGTACCTCTACGAAGACACAAAATAAGAATGTTTTATAAATAAATAATTGATAATCTGACACTGACTTTCTCACTGACAATTTGCTACTGAAAACCAATCCTTGAAAATGATCCACTTCCTTGCAAGCTCAAGTAGCACTAATCTCCATGCTCAGATGAATATTTACTTCTCAGTTCTCAGTGTGCTCTATTTGGCTGACCAGGTCATGAACAGTCATATTTAAACGTAAATAGTATCGAAACCAGTACCGTGATAAACAATTTCATTGTTCAGAGCTAATGAATGAACCACTGACTTGACCTTGCATGGGTTTTTTGTGGTTTCGACCAGAAGATCAAACTGTCAGCACTCCAAAAGAGAGCACATGTACTGCGTTAGATAAATCTAACCTTCGGCCACAGTGGAGTGTTACTTCCTGTTAGATATATCTAACATTCGTATGTTAAAGATTAAATAAACTCAAAACTTTTAAGAAAATTGGCCAGATTTCAGCATATGAAAGATTCACCCTTATATGAGTATGTGAAAAGCAAGTGGTTTTTAGTATACATCTTGCTCATATCTGCTTCATGTTCATTAGTTTTAAATAATTATATTACTTGACATACTCCGAGGCACAACAGGCATCCTATCTAGTGGACACCAGTGGTGCTTTTGCTGAGTTTTAAGCAGCTGGAGCATATAATTGATCACTCATATGCATGTAGTGCTGAAAGTAAGAATGGGTGTAGCTACACAGTTAAACAAAGGTGCATGCTTTAGACACCCTAATGGAGTGTTACTGCAGAGGAAATGTTCCATATATGTTAATAGGTGGTTCATGTTACTTCAGTTTGTTGAATTCTTTAACCACGAAAAAAATTGTGTTAGGAAGTAGATGAAATCTACTAGTAATTATGCAGCAACTATGTAGGGCAGTCAAAAATTTCCCGAATTCCCCTGCAGATGGAGAAGAGAGCGCGCACACTGTTGTGGTGGGGAGCTCAGCATGTCTGCTCACAGATGCAACCGGTCTGGACAGGTTTCAGTGTACAGTGTTGTTACTGTTCCGTTTGAATTAGATGTGAGTGTTGGTCATTCGGCTCAATGTTGCAGTTGGAACAGCATGCGAACATCAAGTTCATGTGCAAATTGGGAAAATCTGCTTCAGAGAGGCAATCGGACCTGCAGCAAGTTTACAGTGATACTTTACTAAAGAAATCCGCAGTGTACAACTGGTTTTCCGGGTTTAAGAATGGGCAGGAGATGTTAAGAGGATGACCAGCACAGCAGGAGACCTTTGACATCCAGAACCGAAGAAATGATTAGAAAAGTGCAACAACTGATTTTGATGTAATCAAAGAATGACCATTGCGGAGTTGGAGCAAGAAGTTGGTATCTCTTACGGATCCATTCATGCCATTTTGTCCGATGATTTGAAGATGAGACGCGTCAGTGTGAAGTTTGTTCCGAGGCAGCTGACCATGGATCAGATGGCATGTTGCATGATGGTCGCTGGCAATCTGTTTGACAAAAGTATGCAGGACCCGATGTTTCTCAAAAGATCGTCACTGGTGATGAGTCATTGGTGTTCTCCTATGACCCGGAGACGAAGATGCAGTCATCGGAGTGGCACACAGCGTCATCTCCCCAGACAAAATTCACACCTTGTCAGATCCAAAGACAAAGTGATGCTCATTGCATTCTTTGACATCGATGGTTTGGTGCACCACGAGTTTGTACCGCCTGGACAGACTGTTACTGGCCATTTCTATGTGCAAGTTTTGCAGAGTTTGCACGATGTGGTTCGGAGGAAGTGGCAGGGACAGTGGTTTCTGCATCATGATAACATACCAAGCCACACATTGCTTGTTGTGCAACTCACCGAGAAAAACATTCCTATCATCACTCAACCACCGTACTCTCCGGATCTCGCTGCAAGTGACTTTTGGCTGTTCCCTACTCTGAAAATGGGCCTCAAGGGGACGCATTTTGCAAGCACGGAGGACATCAAATCGAATGCAACGGCTGAGCTCCAGAAGATTCCAAAAGAAGCCAACAATGACAGGATCAATGGAGCAAGTGTGTGCATGCAAGAGTCCTACTTTGAACATGATTAGGTAAGCGTTGCTGTATGTCCTACCATTAGAGTGCTATACCACCATTCTGGGAACTTTTTGGCTGACCCTCATGTCAATTTTTTTAACAAAATATTGGTATTTTCTGATAGTTGCATACCCAGGAATGGTAGGATAACTTGAAATTTTTGTTACATTTTTGGTTTCACTGCCTTTTATTTACATAGAAATATACACAATTCACTTAACTTCAATACTGTTCATTCTAGCCATTTATGAAGTCTTTTTAAAAATGCTAGCTTTTGGGATGTGACAGCTTGTAGTCTAGTAGATATTTACTTACCACTGTTTCAGAGGAACCTGCTGCCTCAATCTTCAGGGTAGAAGAGCACCTTTGATCCTGAAGATGGAGCCAGCAGGTTCCTTTGAAATGCTGGTACTTATTTACAAGTCTTATATGGCATCACATTCTAGAGGACAGTTGTTGCCTTGAGAACCTAAAATCTCACCTGTGTTTTTCTTTTTTTAAAATATTTAATACTCTTGCATGTATGATGTGTAACTACAGGCAGGTTTTTGGATTGATGACTTATTTATTGCACACTTCGGTACATCATGTGACCACAATTTACAGTTCAATATTACAGACACGGTAGTGTCCACAGTCATGCCTCCACTGCTGTTACTTAGTAGCGGCTTCCAACAGCAGACGTTCCCCTTCCTCTGGGTTCCTGGACTCAGCTGCCACCTTCTAATAGCAACAGCTCAGAATGACTGAACATCAGCAGTTCTATAACTAACTGCAACTCAAAGTCAGAGTCCAAGTTATGTTACTGACAGTCAGTCAACCAGACTGCCTTGGTGTCAAGCACTCATCTGGGGCAAAAGACCAAATTTTTATTACTGTCAGACAGTTGTGGGTGAGTTGATGTGGGGCACCATGTCTGATGAGAGGACAGGTCTGTCGTTTGCAATTGCTGCTGGTCCTCACCAGCACAGTCATTTTTGGGTCTGAAATCCATGAAACTCAAGACAATATATTAACTGTCAAAGATTCAAAACTCCCCCAACCTGCAGGACCAGATTCCTGTTATTTATATCCCCCAGGAACAGGGTGGCACAATTATAACCTTTTTGTCACCTCCTATAACTTTCAGGACTAAGACGGAGGTATTTGAACCCACCTCCACACAGGGATCTAACTGCAAGTGCTAACTTGTTCTGGTTATAACATCTCAGCACAGACTAAAAACCGTCTCTTCCATTACTGCTGTATTCTCTTGTTGCAATGGAAACATACGTTATGTGTTCAAGTTCTAAGGTCTCCGATTTTTTTTCTCATACAATAATCATACAAAAGATTTGAAACTTCTGTCACTTTTCAAAGTAATCTCCCTGCAGCCATACACATTTTTCACAACGCCGACGCCATGATTCCATGGCCGGTATGAACGCTTCTGTAGGAGTCTGTTTTGACCACTGGAAAATCGCTGATGCAATAGCGGCATGACTGGTGAATGTGCGACTACACAGAGTGTCTTTCATCGTTGGGTAAAGCCAAAAATCACTAGGAGCAAGGTCAGGTGAGTAGGGAGCACGAGAAACCAATTCAAGGTTGTTTTCATGAAGAAACTGCTGCAGACTGTCTGCTTTTACCGTTTCTCACGGTCTCTTCGCTTGCAGATTCCTTATATTTTTTCTCCTACCCTGAAGATGGAGGCGATACGTTCGTCCGAAACGTCGGTTAACACCACATATACATGGTGCCAAATCCCAGAAGACTGCTTTCTTCAAAAGTAGACTTTTTCATGCGAGTGTTCATTAGTACAGATCTCTGCTTGTTCTTAACAACTGTTATAAAATAAATTACTATCAATGTAAGTCATCTGAAATTGGCAAATTGTTTGCTGTGTATTATTAAGCATGTCTGGCTAGGTATATTTAGGTCAAAATTTCCAGGATTTCAAATCAGGAGATTTTATGCTGTCAAAATTTTGCAGCTCCAGAATAATTTTTAGTGTTTTTGATTCATTCATTCATTCTGTGATTGTACATCTTCAGCAACTATTGAATGAATTTTTAACATGGGATGACACTAGAGGTTACCACACTGCCATTTTGAAACTCATAATTGTCAGTTAATGTAGCCAGGACAGCTTTCAAGATATGATCAACACTAGAACAATTCAGTGTATGAACACTAATATCTGCATGGCATTAGACCTCAAAATGTACATGTTCCAACCCCTTGCACACTGATGACTAGACTGGCTGGATGTACTTGTATTGAAACTGGTACAGTTTAAGATACTTACTCATGGAGCTGAGCCATTCTGGAGGAGCCACCAATTCTGCAGCTACTCAAGAATATCCCAGCATTTTATGGGACCCGAAGGTTCATTACCGTGTTCACAAGAGCCCTCCATTGGTCCCTATCCTGAGCCAGATCTATCCAATCCATACCATCCCATTCTATCTCTCTAAGATCCATTCTAATATGATATCTGTTGTTAATTAATACAGCATGTCATCAAATGTGGCATGCTGATATTTCAAGGAAAGAAAGGTTTGCAAAAGAAACACTTGTCTACTTTGAAAGTCACAAAAGGGAAATGTGGGGATTTTTATGTAACTCCATTTGCCACTACACACTCTTGGTATTTATAGTCAGGCTTGACAAAGTGTTACATCAGTTCCATATAAATTAAAATAACAAAGTGAAGACTACACAAAAGTTGTGACATTTGAGGTTCTTATGGCAGCGAATATGGAGATCATGGTCTGGGATGTAATGCCATGCAGTTTAATAGATAGGTATTAGCATTTCTGAGGAATATGTTGCCTCCTACTTTAGGGTCAGAGTGACAAATTATTTGATCACTGAGGACTGCTGACTTACTGTAGGTATGAGAAATGAATATTGTTGCGTGTTACCTGGTAACCTACTTCTGTCTCATAGGTAAGGTGCGAATAATTTCCCATACGTTTTGGATTCAGTGATTATTTATTGTGCTTTGCTTCTACAATCACACACTTTTACACTTATTATCACTTGCAATATCACAATTACTGCTTCCACTATATCTCGGCAACTGCCAGACTTCCACTGCACCGAATGCTCCAAATATTAACTGGCTTCAGGGGCCGCTGCATTTCAACTGCCCTCGGTGACTGCTAGACTTCTACTGCATCGCTTAGGCATTCCAGTTTCTCTTATAAACCCTCAGTTGACAGCGGAAAATGCACCTCGCTTCCTTGTTGCATAGTCACCGTGTTTACCGATTGCCTAGCAACAGTCGCTGCACGGACTCGCCTGTTGCATGACATTACAGCCTTGTGGGGAGGGGTGTTTACCAAGCGTTGCGTAATGATGGAAGGAGTGAGGGTATGTGATGTCACTCGCAGAAACGCAGAGTTCATGTGACCCCTACTTCCTGTTGCGCCATCCACGTTACAATATGTATAAAACACTCTCATGTTGTGTTGCATTATGTTGCAAAGTACCAAGATGGTAATAACCAGAATTTTGAGTGTATAGTTAAATAGCTTTTTTATGTTGAAGCATGGAAAGTAATTTAATTTCTTACAAAATAAAACCAGGATTTACTTAAAGAAAATAAGGACATCTGACAAAACAAATGAATGCTCTTGTATTTAATCATATTATTTTGAAGAAACCATGAACCTTAGTTATACCACCATTTGGTAGCAATAATGTTTACATTAATCCAAACTTCTTTTTTTTTTCTATTTACATTTTCTAAGAACAATTTTGACTCACTGCACTAGCTTTAATACTTTAGTAGTCACAAATTCTATGAATTTATGAAGGTTCTTTGTGTTAACGCAAAGGAGGGTTCTTACATTCCACTAGATTAAAAAACTTTTTCTCTAATTTTGCCTTAAACATTATTATGTATTTTTCTTAACTGCTGTAATTCAAATTGGTGGAATGCAGAAAATTATTGCAAACACTTCTACTATGGACATCTGTACTGTATACCTACTGATGAGATGCATGTAACATTTTTGAGGAAAAATAAAAATGAATTCTGGTCCATAACTATTTTGCTGAATATCTTGTCCTGGTAGACTTAAGGAACTGTGGGACTGTCGATACTCCAATAGACAACCACTTCGGAAAGTTTGCGGGCCCAGAAAAGGGCCATTGGTTCCACCGCGGTAGATAGAGTTTTATGGCCGTTTGGCTGGTCTGTCTGGCCGGTGATGTAGGGTTGCATGCGCTAGTAGAAATAGATGTTGGCTATGGTGTGTTGGCTAATGTTGCAGCAGCTGAGTTGTCTGGTCACAGTGTGGCAGTTGTCGGAAGTTGCCTGGTCGCAGAGCGTGGTTGCTGGAAGATGTCTGGTCGCGGAGCGTGGTTGCTGGAGTGGCAGCAGCTGAGTTAGTTGTCTGGTCACAGTGCGGCAGTTGCTGGAGGTTGCCTGGTTGCAGTGCATGGTTGCTGGAAGACGTCTGGTCATGGAGCGTGGTTGCTGGAGTGGTGGCAGCTGCGCCAGTTGCCCAGTGGGTTGGGCTTGACCGCCAGAGAGCCGAGGCAGCCATCCCTGACGCAGTGAAGAGCCGATGACTCCGAAGACCGATCACTCTGGACTAAGTGTGATGGCTGACTGGCTGATGTGGTCACTGATGATTGTGAGCTTTGGGCTCCGCCTTTTATACCATGCTTGATGGAGGAGTGAAACTTGCAGTTGCGACTGTGAGCGCTGACTGGCTAGTGCACGTTATGATCTAAATGTGAGCTGGACATCGAATGCTGTTTAAATACAAGTGCTGCCAGCAATGTGATTGGTTAGCGCACATGATGATCTGCAAGTGGGTTGGACATCGAGTGCTGTATAAATATCAGCATCACCAGCAATGTGATATTCACTTAGGAGTGAGTGTTGTCTGAAAGACTGGCGAAACAGCGTGCTATGTGGGATGTTGCCACAGAAACAAGCCTGGAAAGGACATAAACAGTAGACAAAATTCCCAGTGGCAGTCTTTGCAATTCAATAAGCTTATTTTTAATTTAAAACAGTTATTTCAGCAAAACACCGAATGAACTGAATAAGCATAATAATGCTTAACATTGTATATTGTACAGAATATGTGAAATGGTTTATGTTTTTCTTTTTGTGCATAATTTATTCTATAAGATTCTAATTTATGCTACAAGATGGATTCTGTTCATCTTCAGGAAAAACTTATTCAGTTGACCCCAGTCAACATAGCTTGTCCCTATTTGAGGAAATAGATGAAAACAGGACAATGGATAATGTCCAGAAACATAAAATTTGTATGGATATTTTTATGTGTAAACACCTAAATTTAGCTGATTAGTAAATTATTAAAGTGATTTTAATGACTGAAAGTCCATATTCTGTTTTACATTTCTACTGTATTTTCTAATATTGGAATAAAACGAAATTGTTTCATGTCTCACGGACAGAAATTAGGTTCTATCAAATCATCCAAATCCATCAGAACTACAACCACAGAAATCTAAATAGTATAACTCCCACTTTTATGAGTTTCTTTTACCTGTGAAGGAATAAGTTACAATATTTGCATCACTGACCAAAATAAACTAACTTTCTTACTCTTGAACCAGCTGCAAGCTGGGTCAGATATGAAGACCCCAACTTTACAGTCAACAGTCTGCTTCGTGGTCAGGGCTACTGCATTCCTTAGATGGTAGATGAGTATAGAGAAATGGTGGTATGATGATTAGTAGGATAAAAATAAATCAGCTCAGAAAATAACTTGCTCCAGTGCAAATTAACCATTAATCCTTCATAAAGTTACCAGGGACTGACTCTGCCTCTGTGGTGAGAAGGAAGTGCCTGACTGCCTCAGCTAGTATGGTTTCTTGAGTGAAGTGTGGTGACTTTTACAACCAAAAAAGTAAATAAAGGTTATTTAAAAGAAGGAATTCAGCCTATTACAGGGAAATATCCTTCAAGGATGTTTTTAGTTTGTTCATAATGAATCTGAAGGGCTTTGGGTATTGGTTGATGGTAATTATAAATACAGGATTTGACATTCTGTTAATCAGTGACAAATCTATGTATTTATGTTTTTCTCTTGGTCAATGAGATCCTTTGCATGATGTTTAGCTCGGGTACTCCCTGCTATTTTTTAATCAGATTTGGATGTTTGGTGTAATAAATGTAACAATGAATTTATACTATCATCAGTTTTCTTGCTGCTGTTGGTAAATTTTTCTTGGATTCAATCTTCAAAATTATTCATGCTAGAAAGATTTATACAAGTTCAAGGGTCAAAATGTTCATTTCTATAACACCATCTAATCCTCTCCCATTGCTTTTGCCGGGGAGACCTGAATATTGGTCCTGTGATTGTTCAGAAACGCTCTCTAAAGACGTTCTGTGGGAATTAATATGAGGAGTTAAAGCTTTTTCTGTTCTTCCTAATATGTACTATGGATGAATTACATAAGTTCAAAATATGTTACTGTCTGTAAATAAAAATACTTTTTTCAATTTCTAACCAATCTCAATTGTTTGTTTCTGCTGACTGTTTCACTGCTGGAATACAGAAAATACATAAAAGCTAAAAAAAAAAATACACTGAAATACTACCGTTTAAAAACTAAAATTTGTTCATCTACAACAGCACAGCATTCTAGGCCCTCAACTGCAAGCCTGCAAGCTCTGCTCGCTCTGCTCTGTAACCTATGTAAACTACATTCCACTGAAAATTCATAGTAGTTTACATTTTTGCCGTTAGATGACGTGAAATATGAATTACCAACAATGGCGTGTGTGTGGTGTGTGGTATAAAGAATATTTTGAATTTTTTAAATTTTTTGTACGTAAATTTATCACGATAGTATCAAAATATATATGGTTAGTTAGACAGGCGCTTGCTTACGTTTATAAAAGTACAATATCATAGCTGTAGAATGCGAGATACACTGTTTTTAGCCAACATTCCTGGCATTCCAGAGGAAGAAAAGAAGTAAATATTCCAGATCTCGAAGATGTATACGACGATGGATGTAGATCGGCCTACACATTGTGAATGACAAAGGAAACACTCGCGTTGTCTTCTGTAATTTCAGAGTTAATTTCGGAATTACCGTTGTAATGATTAATACATGACCTGAATATGGTAATTCTGCATAAGAATGCCGCTGATCCATAGGGTGAAGCAGTCAAAATCATTATGGCTCACTACGAATTTCTTCCATTATGTGATGTGCTATTCAATATCATATCCTTAGCTTCATATTTTTGTGACGTGGTGTTCGATGTCGTGATGAGCTATGCACTGTTTGAAAGAGGTCGTATTGTTTGGTTTGCAGTATCAATGACTTTTGTTACCGCTTCTCTGGTTATAAGTCAAGCGATCTCCCTCAAATGGTACATTCATGCAAGTGAGAATCGTAGACGCATGAAAGAGAAATCGAAGAGTGAAACTGAAATTGCAACAAGTTCTCGTAACAGTGGTGAACAGTGTTTTCAGTGGCTTGTGGTAGCACTGCATGTCATTCAGTGTGGCATTCTGTGGCGTTATTTCAAGTTATTCATCCCCGTGGATCTTCGCTACGTGAAACACGAAGTACGAGATCTGTGCATGTTGCGTTTATTCCATGCCTTCTGTGAAGCAGCCCCTATGTTACTAGTCCAACTGTATTTATTGTGGCAGGAAACCTCGCCTAAAGAATTCAGTGACCTCAATATTGTCTCCACAGTTCTGTCTCTGTTTAGTGTTTGTTGGGCATTGGCCTCTTTTAGCAAGAACGTACGTCTTCAGAATGTGCATCGATTAGTTCTAACATGGCTTGGTGTAATATTCCAATTTCTTTGGAGACTTGGGACAGTGTCAGCACGTGTGACAGCTTTAACTGTATACGCTACACTGTATGGACATTGGGTTTTTCTTGTAATTGGCCTTCATTGGATTTCTATGTTTCTGTGGCTGATCTCACCGAAAAATGTATTCCATGGCGAAAGAATCTCCAGACGGCGTAAGGCAGCTTTCTCAGCCCTCATTGCCATTGTATATATCTTTTCGTACATCAACCTTCAGGTAAAGGACACTAGTGGTAATGCTAGACTGTTGTATGTCATTGCTCAATTAGCACGCTGTGATGGCTGTCATTAAATGACATATCACTTGATTAATAGGGTGCAGTGACAAAATCATTGCTGTTTTTTTTTGTTTTGCCCATTTCTGTATCTATTTTATAGGATTTGAAGTTGTCACAGTGAAGAGCACTGTCTTCTGGGATATAATGCCATGTACTCTGTTGAAAGTCACCCAGTGTTTCAGAGGAACAGATCACCTCCATCTTCAGGGTTGAATAAGCCAAGCAAGATATCAGTGTGAAATCAGGTGGCAAACTTCCTGGAGGTGATATGTCGCTCTGAAACATCGGTTGACTTTCAGCAGACTGTGTGGCGACGTATCACAGAAGACAGAACTTTTTGTATTTATTTTGCTGGCACTGACATTTAGTATTGTAGGAAACCTGAACTCTGCATATGCTGTTTTGAATGTTCCTATAACAGAATTATGTGATTGGTTACCAGAATGTAATGAAATTAGATGAGATAACCATACTTAAACTAAACTAACTAAAACCAAATCTAATTAAGTCTGAACAGTGTGTGTAGAATAGAAGTGGCATCCTTGTAACTTTTGTACAGTTGGTGTTTCTGATTAGATGGGATGCTGAGCAATACAGAGACATCACAATGAAGGGAATGTGTGGAACCTGCATTGTGGTCTGGACTTTAGATGAAATATGAAAATTATAATACCACACTAATCAAGTAATTCAAGCTCCACACGCTATATATTGTCATGTGTTTACTGACTATACATTGGGTTTGGATTTGTAATTGGATTTATTGAACACTTATACACACAACTCATTACTACAAATAACTATAGAGCTATCACAAATTCATGCACTCTGCAGTTCACTACATGTACTGAACCTTCTCAGTGTGCTGTGTCTTCACCAGTCATCTGGTAACAGTTTTCAGTGGTGGACATTCACCTTACTCAGGGTTCCCAAAGTGTCCCCATGCTTTACCTCAGCCACAAACTCCTAACAGCAATGGTCACAAGGACTGAACCGCAGTAGTCCTCTGACGGACTCACTCCTTCACCAACGAACTCGCTTAACTCCACCCAACTCAACTGAACTTGTTTCACTCCCCTCTATGCCTTATGTAGCCTTGGCATGGACCACATAGAAAACGCAGCTCTTCTATTGTTGCGTGAGTGTATGTTGTCACCCATTACCCAGCAACAGCTGTTGTTTACAGAGTCATTACTTAGCAAAGGGTCTACATGCTACATTGTGAACCAAACAACATATCTGCTGTTTGTTTACTTGCTAAATCTTGTGACACGGTAACATTTCCTGTAAAGGAAAGCCTGAAGAGAGCCTGTCCTCTGTGCTGCGGATATGAATAGAGAGCATGTGTTTACAGTTTCACACGTTTTTAACCTGAGCAAACTGCAGCAGTTCTTTGCCAACCACAGTTTTACTAATTGTGCATTTCAGGTATCCACATTTTTACATTTGTATCGAGCTCTGCCAGCTGGAACATTTTCTTTATGTATCTGTAAGTTTTAATTTGTGCACACTTTCATATCATAATTGTACTATATGTATTTCTAACATTTTTTAAGTGACTTCTGAATGAAAATTTGCAGAAGTGTGTTAATTAGTTTTGTCATGTTTGTGTAACAATCCTCCTATCCTCATGTGTTAATAGTAACTCAAAAACTGATGAATGGATTTTGGGAGTGTTACGGATATTTGTGAACACTTTCTGTTTGTGGTTAAAATTGGTCATCAGTGGACAATTTACATGAAAGGCATAGTCTTCTGTGTTTTAATGTCATGTAGTCTGGAGAAAGCCCAACATTTTGGAGCAATAATCACTTCCGTCTTTACTCGAGAAGATCAGACTTTCCCTGAACAGTACAACGTTGCAATCCAGAAGACTGTACTTTTCGTGGTGAACACCATGAAAACCTCATATCCAACTTTATCTGAAGGCCTACATGAATACAGGGTTTTGGTGGGAAAGCCAGAAATGGAAAAAACCACTAGGAAGACTTAGACTTAAGTGGAAGTATAATATTTTCACGTGATCCAATGACTATAGATGGAGTTTCGATCGGTAATTGGATTTATTGGACTCTTTAAACAACTCATGACTACACTTTACAAATCAGTGTCACAAAAAGACTGGTCTTCTCAGTCGCAGTTTTCACTGTACTGTTTGGTAACATCGAATAAAAGTGGATGATCCTCTGCTCTCAAGCTGGTAGCCATCTCACACAGACCTCCAACTCTTCTAACTGCTGTCTCAGGACTCTCCCTTATTGCCAGCTGGTCCTCATTTTATAGCCTTGGCACGGACTGCACATTCCCCGCTTCCAGCAGTTACTCCATTGTTGTGTGTTTCTCTCGCTCCACAGTTTTTGCTTTGAAATATGCCACACTGATGTTAGAGAAACAGGATGAGGTGGTTATCTGGCTTTGGATGGGGCTCAGTGGCATGGTTATGAAGCTTAAATGTTGGGAAATTCTTGACTAGCTGAGCAGCTGTTGGTTTTTCAATAAGAACTTGTCTCCATGGAGTTAGTTACTTGCTAAGTTATTACACATTTTCTTGTGTGCATTGAATAAGAGGCAAAATAGTTAGTCTCTGGTGAGTACTGATAATGACTGCAGTTCCCCAAACCCTGAATTTTCTCTGAAGCCTTGTTCTCTTTAACCGTGGTTTTCAAGTCGCAGTGTTTTTCAGAAACATAACTCCTGCAGTTGGTAAAGAATTGCTGTACTGATATTATTCCATGGGCAATGGACACATGATGAAGAATTTTCATATTGTTACAGAATCTGAAGATTCATTACATAGCCCACAATTCAGCCTTGTTCTAAGGCAATTTTCAAATTAATATCTTTTGATTGTAAAGATTAGATAGTTATTTAATCTGAACTTTCATGTTTCATTCCTGCTGGTAAAATATAAAGAGGAGTGTGTGTAGCAAAGTCCATATTTGAATTTTGACAACACAAATCCAATTGGACGTTTCTTTACCTATCTGAGTATTAATTGACCTCTTGATCATTTGTACTCAGGACTAGAAGAAGATTATGATTTTATATGTGATGCTGTGTAGTTTGGTTGACAGGGGCCAACATTTCGGAGTAATCTGTTGCAGCCATATTTGGGACAGAAGTTGAAGCTGGCCTACAGAGCCATGTCTCCAGGCTTCTGCTAGGCTGGATTTGACTTCTATCCCGAAGATGAAGGCAGTAAATTCATCTGAAATGCTGATACCTGTGTACCTGACTACATGGCATACCATCCCAGATAAATGTAATATCCATATTCACTGCTGTGAGAACATAAAGTCTCATAGACTGGTGTTACCTTGTGCTTTTGTGTTTCTTTAATGTATGTATGTAGAAGATACTACAATTTAGACATCAGATATCAGTTTTACATCATAATCAGTATGACGTGCAGTGACAGTATGATGTGCTTGAAAATTGTTTAATTTATTTTTATAGGAGGTGAATCCACGGCAAAAAATGGCTACGTTTTATGTAGTCATGTTCCTGGAAAATGCTCTACTTGTTGTGGCATGGCTTGTAGGTGTATGGGGTGAGGCGCCTTGGTACAGTAATGCTATCCCCAGTGTTGTCTTCATGTCATTTTCTACAGGAATAGCTTTCATGCTGCTCTACTACCGGTACTTTCATGTCAGGAGGTTTGTATAATTGCAGTTATTAATAACAAGCCCATTGGAAATGCTCTGCTTCTCTCCCAGATCCTTGTGTATAGTGAGTTGAGATGAAATTGGATGAAACTTGAGGCTAACTTCACACTTTCAGTTCATAATCATCCAGTGTTATGCTCTGAGAGTTTGGTCACTAGCAAAGGGTAACTATAATGTCTTTGCAAAACATGGGGCTCTCATGGCAGAAATTTTGAAGTTCACTGTCTTCTGGGATGCAACAACATGTGGTCTGAACTTCCAGGGCATACTGCCTATGGCTTCAGGGAAGAAGATGGAGGAAATATGTTCCTCTACAGCAACAGAGTACCAGACTACAAAGTATCATATCACAGAAGACAGTAATGTTTACTGTCTTTGCTGAAATACATCAGTAGTGATTTTAATAGGAGTTTTGACCAAGCAAGTTAGCTTGAACAGTAACACTCCTGACTTGTATTTCGGAGGTGTGATTCTTGACTGGGACACCAGCCTCTCTGACTGAGCTCTTTCATGGTTTTCATCAGTCCCCTTATGCAAATGTTGTGATAGTACCTCATCCTGTTTTTCCCACATCCTTTCTGATTCATTATTTGTTAATCATCTCACCATTTGACTATGTAGTTCATAGCATGTTCATGGCAGCCTAATTAATAAACCATAAATAAATAAGTAAAATAGCAAATCCAAGCTCTCATGTCCCTTTGTATGAACTTGTATTGAACTCACCACATATACATTCCCATGGCACAAAAAGTATTTATATTGAACTCACCACACATGCATACCCATGGCACAAGACAGGACTTGTATTGAACTCATCACATATATGTTCCCAATGCACAAGAAACTACTTCTATTTAACTAGTCACATGAACATTCCCATGGCACAAGAAAGGACTTGTATTGAACTCACCACACATGCATTCCCATGGCACAAGAAAGGACTTCTATTGAAGTCCCACATATATGTGGTGTGTTCAAAAAGTATCGAACCTTCTTTTTTCCCGCGTAAATCAATGAAGTGCGGGAGGCTCCCTTCGGTGGAGATGTGGAGGGGACATTCATGCGCAGTCGTGAATTTTTTCCTGCCTGCAGAAAGCGTCAGTCACTGGCAGTCGGCCTATGAGTGAGGACGTGTAGTGAGCGCTCGTCGGATTCCAGTAAGGTGTAAAATGACGGAACATGAGCAGCGATATTGCATCAAATTTTGCCAAAAGCTTGGCAATACCCAAGTGGAAACCATTCGCAAGATTCAACAGGCTTTCGGGGACGATGCCATGAGCAACTCATGGATAAAGGAGTGGTACAACCGCTTCAAAGATGGCTGCACATCAGTGGACAGCAAACCGCGTTCAGGCAGACCCTCAGTAAGCCAAAATGAGAATGTCATTGAGCAAGTGCGGACTTTGGTCATGGAGGGCCATCATATCACAGTCCAAGAACTTGCAAACAAAATAGGGGTAAGCATTGGATCAGTACATTCAATTTTGACCGAGGATTTGGGCATGAGGAGAGTGTCTGCGAAGTTCGTACCAAAACTGCTAACAATGGAGCAGAAGCAACACCGTCTGGAAATCGCACAGGACATGCTGGACAATGCAAACAGTAACCCCAACTTTTTGAACACTGATCACAGGCGATGAGTTGTGGGTTTATGGGTACGACCCGGAAACCAAGATGCAGTCGTCACAGTGGAAACATCCGATATCCCCGAGGCCAAAAAAAGCACGGCAGGTCCGCAGCAATGTCAGGGTCATGTTGGCCGTTTTCTTCGACTCCCATGGGGTTGTGCATCATGAGTACGCACCACAAGGCCAAACCATCACAAAGGAATACTACCAGGAGGTCCTCCATCGCCTTCATGACGCTGTGCGGTGCAAACAACCGGATCTGTGGGCAGCAAAAACTTGGCAGCTCCATCATGATAATGCACCCGCCCATTCTGCGCATATGATTCAGACTTATGTCGCCAAACACAACATCCCTGTGGTTCGTCAGGCTCCCTACTCCCCCGACATGGTTCCGTGTGACTTCTGGCTATTTCCCAAGCTGAAAATGTCGCTGAAAGGAACCCAATTTGAGTCAAGAGAAGACATCATGCGGAATGCAACGGCCCGGCTGATCACCATTCCAAAAGACGTGTTTCAGAAGTGTTTCCAACAATGGCGGAAGCGCTGGGAGAAGTGTGTGCATTACCAAGGAGACTACTTTGAAGGGGATTAGGGTTTTGTACCTCCAAATCAGTAAATTTATTTCTGCCGACCAAAGTTTCGATACTTTTTGAACACACCACGTATGTTCCCATGGCACAAGGAACTACTTGTATTGAACTCATCATATATACATTCCCATAGCACAAGAAAGGACTTGTATTGAACTCATCACATATATGTTCCCAATGCACAAGAAACTACTTGTATTTAACTCATCACATGTACAGTCTCATGGCACAAGAAAGGACTTCTGGCATGGTACTCTTTTAACCCATTTGGTTTTAAGGTAATATCCAGAAACATAATTACTTACTTATGGAGCTGAGCCCTTCCTGAGGAGAAGCCAAATCTGTAGCTACTCAAGAATTTCCCTGCATTTTATGGAACCCAAAGGTTCATTACCACGTTCACAAGAGCCCTCCACTGGTCCCTATCCTGAGCCAGATCAATCCAATCCATACCATCCCATTCTATCTATCTAAAATCCATTTTAATATTGTGTACCCACCTACGACATGATCTTCCCAGTGGTCTCTTTCCTTTTGTCTTTCCCTCCAATATCCTATATGCATTCCTCTTCTCCCCCATTTGTGCTACATGCCCTGTCCACCTCATCCTTCTTGACTTGATCAGTCTAATTATATTTGTAGAAGAGTACACATTATGAAGCTCCTCATTATGCAGTTTTCTCCAACGTCCTGTTACTTCATCCCTCTTCGGTCCAAATGCTGTCTTCAACACCCTGTTCTCAAACACCCTCAGTCTATGTTCCTCCTTTAATTTCAGAGACCAAGTTTCACACCCATACAGAAACATAATATTTGTATTAATGTTCCATCATCACAAACTTTTAGATCTTATTTACATTGCTGTGGAGTGTATATCAGAAATTCTAATGGGTTGATGTTACTGTTGCAGGTTGCGTTATGAGGCGGGAGGTCGACCAAACTCGTACAACAATAATTGTGATTCAACTCAGCATTTATCTGGGAATAGCTATGGAGAAATTCAACAGGGCAGCAAATTGGATGATCAGCTTACAGGAAATAAAAATCAGGTATCACCTTCTTGTACTCGTCGCCTTGTAAAGAGTAAATGCATGGCTAGCAATCAGGTTCCCCTTTGCCCAGGTACGTCGCGTGTTTAGTTATAGATTGGTAGTTTACCAACATTCATTTGGGATGTGATGCTGTGTAGTCTGGTAGATGGGTAACAGTGGCATCCTGAAGATGGAGTTGGCTGATTTCATTAAAACACAGGTGCCTATGCACCTAACTGCGAGTACACATTATATGTCAGATATATGTGTATGCTAAGTAAGGTATGGTGTAAGGTCTTTTCAGTCTGAGTGACCTCCAAATACTGAGAAAGTACATCAACGATGAGACAAACATATCAGTAAAACTTGGATGATAACTTATATCTTATCACATCTTGTTAAGCTGGAGTGACAGACACAATGCACACAGAGACATCTGTAACACTTGAGAGCAAATTGTAAGACCATGTTGCTTGTTGCACTGCCGCTGTATGATTGTTGCCATCCATCGTATTTGTGCAGGTTTGCATGCATGAAGATGCTGTCACATGTAGGGTGGTACGCATGATGAAATGACAGGTTCTTGGTTGGTTGATTTGATTTATTAGCAGCTTGGTTACACACACTCTTAATTACAATCAAATTACAATGCTATCGCTGATTTACACACACCACACTGTTGCACGCACACACTAGTCCTCTATGTGTAACGTATCTCAACACAGAAATTAACAGTGTCACTGGATCACACACTCCAATTATAACACATAAACACAGTCTTCAATACACACTTTAAATCTTCACAGTTCTTTTATGCACTTCCCTTTGCTGCCACTCTTACTGTTACTTAAACACTCAGACACTCTCAAATACTCCAAAACACACTAAAACTGAATTACTGGTGTTATTCTCATTATATAGCCTTCGCACCAACCATGCACAGAAAACAGCCTATATTGTTGGAACATGTTTACTGAGTGATTGCATAGCAGTGGTCATGGCGCTGGCCACATAGAAAATGCTGCACTCCCACTGTTGCCCTGTGTGCCTTCGGTTGCAAGGTGTTTAACAGTCAGGTACCTAGCATTCCTCTGTCCATTCATGTTACAATAAAGTTAATTCTTGCCCACATATATTCACATCTCCTCAAGTAAATTAACATTTAATAGTAGTTCAATTACAATTCTTTTTGTCAAACTATGGTATTTTTTAAGCAACATTTTGTTACATTTTTTGTTAAATTGTCTTATATCATGAAGAAGTCTGCCCATGTAATTATTCAGATGAAAATCTTTATCCTTATTAATTGTTCTTTGTAGAATCCTTTTTTAAAAAAAGATTTGTGAGGGCCTCATGAAGTCTTATGCTGCAGTACTTGTTTGTGTGTGCAATAACACCTCAATGTACAAATGGCATACAGTTCATTTTGCAACACTCAGCAAACAATGTTTTAATTCAGGCCAAGTTCATTAACACAAAATTTAAAAACCAATACATAGAATTTGGGATCCCTGGTTTTTTTGACTGCATCCATCATCCAGTATCCCAAAGAACGCAGTGTTTCGTTTCTGAAACACTGTGTTCTTTGGGATTGTTAAGTGTTGCCCATTACATGATTTGCAGTGATTCATGCTGTATGTCATCTCACCCTGGTGCAACTTTCTAGTTGATTAGTTTGTTGCTTTTCTTGCTGACCTTCTGCCGCTTTCTTCATATGTGGGATAGATTTTTGTTTCATTGCCTAGTGACCAACAGCATGGCCACTAAATATTAATAATGAAATGGTTTTCAGGGCTGAAGGTAGCATGGATAGTGGGTATTTGCAGTTTCTTGCAATGCCCATCATTTTTAGTCATCTGTGCCACCCCTTCCCTACATCCCCACAGGAACTGAGAGTACAGTGGAGTTGTAAGATTTATTTCTTTACAATTATAAATCACTCCATCCAATGTGACTTGTAAGTTTTTTACTACATAAAAACTTAACACCCTTACATGTTTCGGTCTCTGTGGACCATCTTCAGAGGGCAAACATCACTACAAATAGGAAACCACCATCACATAATTTGTTTACACATAAAGTACGTACACTTATATGCTACAATACATAGTACACAGAATAGAACATATCACAAACACAGCAGTTTCCTGGGAATGTAAAGTTTTTTAAAAAATTGTATAAAATTCCTTGATGCCAAATAAAAGTTTTTTAGATTGTCAATAATTAAAATTCGTAAACCATGCAGGCTCGTGTGATGGACCAGAATGAAACAAATCAAACTACAGTAAAACTTGGTTATAGCAACATAGGTTTCTGCGACACCTTGTCTATTGCGTCAAATATTCAATGGTACGAACTAATTCCTCATAAAGCATCTGTTTTTATACCTTGCTTAGTACGACATGCACAAATGCATCAACCTCGTATGTAACGTCATTTTCATTCCTGAATTTCTCTGATATGGACATTGAACGTAATTTAGAAAGTGTGTATTGGGCAAGTAACAGGAAACAGATGAAGATAACTGATTACTGTACTCGTATCTAGGTACAGTAAGGCACAACAATTGATGTAATCTACTGTAATTTGGTGAGTAGGCCTACCTTTAATATACAGTATTAGTGCGGTGTGTATTGTCAGTGAAAAGCGCTGTAATATGTCTTTGATATTACACATTTGGGCAATTCCACGTTAATGTTACGTTAGTCTGTACTTATCTACGTATTTCACTAAAAAATGCAACATTTTAACTCGGTTTTTGGTATATTTTTACGTGACTAACATAAGGCTACTCTGGAAGTGCCCATTTCGGTTACAACGACATTCGTTTATAACGACACTATTTTTAGGTTCCTTTGATGATGTTATAACCAAGTTCTACTGTATTTCTTTATGTTTTGTTTATCTGTACTGTCAGTGGTTCAGACTATATGTAATGACAAATGATAGGATGATTACTAGATAATGAAAGAATATGGAAGGAAGTGCTTATGGCTTGATTTGAGGTCCTATCCTGACATTTATATGGAGGGACTGAGGGAAACAATGAATATCCAGTCTGTGGGCTAAAATTTGAACCCTGGAACTCCAAAATATGAAGCTGGATGGCTACCAACTCATCCATGATGTTCAGTTATACAATGTAATTAGGATTTTTCCTTCGTATGGAAATAATGAAAATATGAATACATTGCACGGGTATTTATTACAATGTCCAGAGTTGCACTGTTTTGTCTGATAAACTGATTTATGTGTCAGGACATGGACTGCAATGGCAAGCTTAGTGAAACCAATTGTTACCAGCGTCACAACAATGGCTACCACCCATACCACCATGGCGGTATCCCAGGTGTATTTAACTGTCGGTTTAGTAATCCTGTAGCGTCTGCAGCAGCAACGAAACGTAAGAAGAAGAAGCCAACTACTTTTGTTCCACCACCTGTTGTCACCACAATTCCATCCATGGGTATGGTTCTGCAGCAACACCACCAGCAGCAGCATCAGAACTTGATGCAGGATGCTTTCAGCAGCAACCTTGCACTGCAGATGCAAAGTGCTGTACCGTTCTGGAGACGTCCATTGCCCAGTCAGCATAACCACCAGGTTTGCTTCCTGCACTTTGAACTCTGATGTGACATGTAATATGGGAATTGTAAATTTTAACCATTTCTTGACTGTAGTGGAGCCAGACAAATAATTCATATGGATTCCCCCAGCCCCACATTCTGTCTACTACCTACCTTTCCTCTGCCCCTCCCCCCATACCATATCTCCCCACTTCCACTCCTGTTGTTTATTTGTTCTACAATGTTAGAGCAGTTAGGCAAGGAAGACATAGTGAGGGAACAAGCCCTCCATTCCTACCAACCTTTATCTCTGCTTCCCTGAGAATCCTTTGGCTGGCTGAAGAATAGGAAACCAACTGAGTCAAAGAGGCATGTTCTTTTAGGCCTATTATGATCTAAACTCTTTGATTCTTGGATGCTGATCTACTGTTATATGTAATTGAGACATGTGTTAAGACATGGCAACCTTTCTACTTTTTCTGCTAGACAGTTAATTATTCTATTTTATGAAAACAGCCTCTCCATTCTTGTGCAAGCTAACTCTGATTGTATGTGACAATAATGTTACAGTAAACGTGACTGTTATTTTGGACATGGTCCTTCTTCTTGAATTGTTTCAAGTACTTTTTTGGAAACTGAATATGTTTCTGCCATCTGGCATAAGGGGGGAGAGATTCCTATTCAGTTGGAACTTTTAGAAAGACTTGTTCTCAATCACTGGACCTGGTGATGGAAAGAGATCCAGTATACAAAAAAATTCAAGGTAATAGACAATGTCAAAAATAGTAGCTATCACTCACTCACTCATAAAACTGAGCCTTTCTTGAGAAGCTGCCAATTGTGCAGCTACTCAGGAACCTCCCACCATTTTTTGGAACCTAAAGGTTCGTTACCATATTCACAAGAGCCCTCCACTGGTCTCTATCCTGAGCCAGATCAATCCAATCCATGCCATACCATCCCATCCTGTCTAAGATCCATTTTAATATTGTCCACCTACCTACATCTTGATCTTCCTAGTGGTGTCCTTCCTTCTGGCTTTCCCACCAATATCCTAGAATGCATTCCTCTGCTGTGTCTCTAATGTTCTTATTCTTAGTGTTCATTGCAAGCGCATCAGTTTTGCCTTTCAGATATTCCCTATTTTTATTCCTGAAATGCTTGTTGGTTTCACATCTTATATTGTTTACATTATCCATATTTATTTTGCTTTGATCCTATAACCAGTGCAACCTGGCTTGTTTCCTTTGATCTAATAATTTTGAGCATCCTTCATCAAACCATGGTTTATGCTTCTTCAATTCATAATAATCTAGTTGCTCTTTGGCAGAAATTTTTATATTCTTTCTAATAGTTTTCCAAGCTTTATTAATATCCACCTCAGCCCTTAAATTTTCCAAAGCTGTGAACATATTTATGATTTCGACACGATACTGCTTCTTACCCTCTACCTTGTTTAATTTCTTGAGATTGAACCTCTCCATATGAACTCTGTGCGTTGTTTGTTTACTCACTGCCAGTCTTTCCCTAAACTTTGCCACCATCAGGTAGTGGTTAGTATCACAGTCTGCTGCCATGAATGATCAGACATTGAGTATACTTGAATGCCATCTCCTGTCTATCAAAATATTTTCAATTTGGTTGTGCGTCTTCCCATCAGATGTCCAAGTACCTTTATGAATATTAGGATGTGGGAACATTATGCTTTTGACAGTAAGATTTTTTGATGTGGCAAAGTCTACTACTCTTAACTCCATTATCATTACTAATTTCATGCAGTCTCTCATTCCCAGTTGTTGGTTTGAAAATATCTTCCCTCCCTACTTTGTCACTGAAATCTTCTATCAAAATTTTTATATGGTATTTCAGGAATTTATCAAATAAATGTTCTAGTTCTTCATAGAACCTGTCCTTTATGTCATCAATTTTGTCTTCTGTTGGGGGCGTGAACATTAAGAATTATATCACACCAGCAACCTCCTAGTATTATATATGATATCCTATCACTAACGAACTCTACTCTCTTAACTGCTGATATGTTTCTCTTATGTATGAGAAAACCTGTACATAATTCATGATTCTCATTCTTCTTTCCATAGAAAAATGTATATTTGCCTGCCGATTCAGTGCCACCTCCATCCCCTCTGACCTCCTGTATGACCTCTAAAGCTACCCTAAATTTTGAGATTTCTTCCACCACTACCCAGAGCGAACCTGCCCTATACATACTTCCAACATTCCAAGTACCGAATCTCCTGTCCATTTTCTTTAACCTAGGTCGTTTATCCAGAGGATCCATCCAGGTCTGAGACTTTGTGTGCATTTTTGTAAGAAGCTTATTTTTTATGGTGAGAAGTTGTAGCCCCATGCCCAACCCCCCAGCTGGAGGGCCACCCCTTGTTGGCTGCTCGCGACTTCTTATTCAGTATATTTACAGCTACCTTCCATATCTGGAGGGCATCTCCTCCATCCACAACCTGAGGATGCACCTTGCTGTAGTGACAAGGGACCCACCTGACATGGAAAAAATAGTTATCCTTAATGTAATTCTTATGGAGCCAGTAGAGCTATACAGAGGTCATGGAAAGAATTGGTCAGGTCCCTCTGTATCAGTTCCCCTTTCAGCATATTTCCATATGTTCTCCAGTTATATAGCCATTCTGTCTGCAAGATATCTGTCATGGTAAAGACAGTAATAATTCATTAGTGACAAGTGGATGTCATAGGCAGAAGGAACTGGAAGGTCTGCTGTATAGGCCTGATAGTAATAGGGTTGATAGAGAATAATTTGTCTATATGTGACATTTACCCTCATGTTTAAAACAATTATGAGCAGAAGTCTTTATTTAGATATAGCATAACCCCAAATTTAAGTTGACAACACAGGAGGGGATGAGCGGGGTCCTGCTCAAAGTGGTAAGTTGGCTGTGAAACTTCTGTAATTAAGATGCAGATTGTGATGTACTGTGTGGAGTGCCTTGAACTGTAGATTACATGGATAGCAAAAGATTTATTGTGTTGCAGTGTATTAGAGGGAGACCATTTGCCTAAACTTTACATAAAAACCTGTTCAGAATATTTTTGCTACTTTTTGAAGCAAAAATACGAAAGTATATTTTTTTAATGGTACTTAAACACTACTGGGGCCCTTGGCAGTGTAGCTGGTTGAGGCACTATGCTATGAGCTGGAAGGTCGCAGATTCAAGTCCCAATGAAGTGGATTTTTTTCAATTTACCTAATCCTTACAGCCACACTATGGCTTTTGGGTTGATTCAGCTTCTAACCAAAATGAGTACCACGAATCTTCCTGGGGGGTAAAGGGTGGCCGCCATGTAAGGCTGACAACCTCACTGCCATCTGTGAGCCGATTGTCTAGAAAATGTAGGAGCCTCAGTATCTCACAACCCTATGGGTCTTCACGGCCTGTTACAAGGATACCTTTACTTTACTTACTTTTTACTTGCTTGATCACTATTAAATATTCTATTTTTCTGTTGCTTTATGAACTATTGTCATGTTTGAAACAAGAGAGATTAAAAAGATTTTAGGTTTTCTTGGCAGTGAATACTAAGACTGCTCTTTTGGTATGTGATATTGTGCAGTCTCCTGGGTGCTTACCAGTATTTCAGAGGGACCACTCATACCTTCTTCTACACTGAAGATGGAGACACAGGTTCCTCTAAAGTGTTGCAAGCCATTTACCAAAGTAACATCATTACATCCCAGAAGATGGCAGTCTTACGAGATATCAGACATCAAGAACTATAAAATTACAAAAATCCCATATGTTTGTTGCACTGCATCATATTCTCTTACCAATTCTACATTTGTACCAGGTTTTAGCATGAAGTGTATGGTGTCCAGAAATAAATGATATGAGAAGTAGGATACATGAATATAGTTTTGAATGATTTCAGAACCCACAGGGCGAGTTTTGTTTTAGATGAAATGTCTTAAGCATGCTTACACATTCCAATGAACATATTGATAATTATACCATTATTGTGAGGGATATCGTCCATTGTCTTATATGTGTTCTTTATACACATTATTGTGGAGGTTTCCTTTACGTCTGTCTTCATGTGATTGTATTTTTTTTTTTTTTCAAGATTAAAGGCAAAGATTGAATTGAACTCAGGACGTTTAGAATAGGAGGGTAATAAGGTAATCACTAAACTAATGGGCTGCCCAGGAACACTTGTTATGTTACTTAGGCAGTTACTTCCAGTTCTATACTAGAGAGAGACTTGCTTGCCTGTTCTGTTCTGCCATTCACATAAACGCTGACTTTGTCAGTTCCCCAGTGATACTGTATGTATCCATATGGATGATTTCTTCCTTACACCATTACATTTTATAGCGTTCATTCCAGAAGGGTTTTGCTGTTTGACTTGGATGTTTCTGCATTTTCTTATTGTGTTCATCTGTGGTGTTGACTGCCTCTGTGGTCTAGTGGTCAGAGTTCCTGGCTACGGATACAGAGGTCCAGGTTCGATTCTATGCTCTACCAGATTTCTTCTGAGAAGTAGTCGGTCTGGAACAGGATCCACTCAGCCTTGTGATGATAATTGAGGAGCTATTTCAAGGAAATAGCAGCTCCAGTCCAGAAAACAGAAATTAACAGTCATGGGAATTCATTGCGCTGACCACGTGATACCCTCTATTCGCTGAAGTTGGCACTGAATTCGCCGACAAGCACCAGTTGCTTGGTCAGTATAGTTTGCTTGTGGACTAAAATTATGGAGTGTTTTTNTTTTTTTTTTTTTTTTTTTTAGTGATTTGGGTTTCAAGTGGTCTTCCTGCCCCACATATACAGGGTAAATTATAAGTCCCTCCAGGATTTCCGAACTCGGCGACGCAACAACCAAGACAGACACAGCAGAAAGGAGCATATCAATAGGTATAGAATCTCTCCAAGTTTATTTGGTTAACAGGTGCCATGGCATACTTGCAGGTTTCACTGCTAGGGGGCAGTCATGAAATATGGCAAAGACAGGGGATAAGAAAGCATTCTGTGTCTTGGAATTTGCCAAAACTGTGTCAATTGTGACAGTGTAATGAAAGTTTCGGACCCGAGTACTGTATAGAACCACCTATGGATAAAACAATTCATGAGTGGTACAAGGTGGTTCAAATATGACCGGGACTGATTTTTTTTTAACCAAAATTGCCAAACACTTACTTGCACATGTCAGTCTTCAATGTACTGCCCTCCGTAGTCAACACATTTTTTCCAACGTTCTGGAAGCATCCTGATACCCTTTTCAAAAAAGTTTTGTGATTGGCGGCATATCCACTTCCAAACATTATGGATGACGGTGTCATCCACAAACCGCATGCCTTGCAAGTCTGATTTGAGCCTTCCGAACAGGTATAAATCACTTGGTGCCAAGTCAGGACTGTACGGTGGATGTGTCAGAAGGTTCCATTTCAATTTCCGGAGGGTTTCAATTGTTATTTTGGCCGTATGGGGGCGTGCATTGTCTTGAAGGAAGGCTACCCGCTTTCCACCTCTCTTCCGCTTGGATCTGAATTTTTCCTTCACGTCTGTTGCCAGGAGGTCTGAGTAATAAGCTGCATTGACTGTTGTGGCATCTGTCAGAAAGTCTACATGGATAACCCCCTGCCGGTCCCAGAAGAACGTTTCCATCACTTTTCCTGCTGAACGGCTCCTCCGCGCTGTCTTGGGTTTGGGAAAACTGGTATGCCGCCACTCGCGTGATGATTGCTGGGAGTTGGGAATGAAGTAGTGCACCCACGTTTCATCAGTGGTCACTATAGACTTCAAAAATATATCACCTTCATCTTCAGACTGCTGTAGGAGATGACTGGCAACTTGCATGCACACCATTTTGTTCACGTCCATCAAAGTGCGTGGTACCCACCATGCATTCACCTTGCGATAGTGCAGGTGGTATTTCATGATGTCTTCTACACTTCCAACACTGATGGACAGCATTGCTCCAAGTTCCTTGATAGTGATGCGCCTATTCTCACGAATAAGTGCGTCTGCACGATCAATGTTTGGCTTGGTGACGGATGTTCGCGGCTGACGATCATGCGGTTCATTCTCCATGCGCGCTCTGCCATCTCTGAAGCACTTACACCACTCAAACCCACGGGTCCATGAGAGAGACTCTTCCCCGTACTGTTGTTGGAGTCTGTGGTGAATTTCAGGGGACGGGACATTTTCTCCAACAAAGAATTGATCACAATGCATTGTTCCACGCTCTGCAGTACCTTCTGTTCACTCATCACCCTAGCAACTTCCAGACAGGCCTGAACAGGTTCTGACCCTAACAGGAGGGAGGGTGGAGGTTGTGGCTTCACTCTCTCAAGGTCGCACAGCTGGTGCACAGTGTGGCTTGTTTACAAAAAAATCAGTCCCAGTAATATTTGAACCACATAGTACAAGAAATTTCATCAGTGTGGCTGCCTGTACACTGTGAAACAAAGAGGCCTGCTGGGGCCATCAGCCGAGAGTGTTGAGCAGGTGCAGCTGGTATCCTTTTGTGTGAAGGTGTTTATGCTTGATGTGCCAGGCACTTGAATGAGGCATCTGCAATTCCTGGCTCGCACGATGTGTTGACTTCTCAGGGCTCATGTCAAAAGATTCTCGCACACACACTCGACATTCCCGGCTGATGGCCCCAGCTCGTCTGTTCATTCTGCAGTGCACACGCAGCCACCCTGCTGGAATTTCTTGTACCACTCACAAATATTTTTGTCCATAGGTGGTTCTGTGTGGTGCTTGGTCTGAAACCTTCATTGCACTGTCAAATTTGACTCAATTTTGGCAAATTTGAAGACACAGAATACTTTCTTATCCCCTGTACTGACCACATTTGATCATAACTGCCCCCTAGTGGTGAAATCTGAAAGTATGCCATGGCACCTATTACCCAAACAAACTTGGAGAAATTTTCTGTTTAGTGATATGCTCTTTTCTGCTGTGTCTTATCTAGTTGTTGCACTGCCAACTTCATAATTTCCATATGGACGTATGAATTAAGGCTCCCGCACACAGACACGATACGATTCGGGACGATATAGCACTCGGGAATCTTTGACACCTGATAACCAGCTGGCCATGACTCACACTCAGTCAGTATCTATACGTATGTGAAACGACATGGGTAGCCAAATGGAACAAATAATAGTTCATCAAAGAAAATGCTTTATTGTATGATGCTCGTCATCCGATGTACAAGGATTCACGTGCTAAGGATAGAAAGTGGAAGGAATTGGCTAATACAATGAACAGAGACAGCAAGTAGAAAAATTTGTATATATTTATATAGGGTTAAGTATACAGTAACTTTGGACACTCTTAATGTAGGCTATGCACCAGTTCCGTTCACTAACACGAATTCCAGGGCAGTCATCTAGTTGAAGTACTCAACAAACCGCTCTCTAATGGCATAGCTACCGTTTGCCGCCCTTGGGAGATGTAAAGGTTGGATAGGGAACATTTCTCCTTCTAATGGCTCCACTCGTAGCAGTTCTTCCCTGTACTTTTCATCACAGTTTTTGAGACTTAGAAAATTATGAAGCAAACGCGCTGCTGATACAATGTGTTTTACATGTATATTTCCTCCCATCAGTTCTATGGGTCTCAAAAAAATCCTCCACTTCATGGCAAGAATAGGCTTCTGCCAATTGGTATATTCTTTAGTGATATCTTGCCTGATGGCCCTCAAGATTTCATCAAACCTGTCAATATTCATCCTGAAATATATGTAGAACAATTTTTCGTCCTTCAGGAGTTGGGGTATCAATGTATAAAACTCCCCCCAATTAGTTAGTTAGTTAGTTATTGGAGAGGGTGGGTTTCCCCATGCACTTAAACCAGTATTGGTCCATTGTGCTTCCCCCTATGATATTCTACCAGTCTCTATACCCTACCGATATTGGTGCGTACCATCAGTCCCGACCGAGCCAGTGAGTTCAGCCTCTACTGCCTTGGCGGTATCTATAATGCTTCCCCCATCTATCAGAGGCGTTAGAGACTACTGTGGGCGGAACGTCCTTGAATTTGGCTCAGTGACCTCCTTTGGAGATATGAGGTTCTTTTACGTACCGTAAAGCTACGATACGGGACCCACGGCTTAAAGTCCCTCCTGGAGGACTTGTTCCCTGAATTTTTCTGCCCTTAAAAATTCCACGACCTCCGCCGGGTTTGAACCCGCGTACCACGAGTCATGAGGTGGCAACGTTACCTCTAGAGTACGGAGGCCACTAAAAAACTCCCCCCAGTTCCTCTCTTGACAAGTTTATATCATGAACCCAAGTGATTCGTCTCTTTCGCCTAAAATAGGAACACACATAGCAACCACTTCTGCGTACTTAATTAGAGACTCGTTATGGAATTGTAAACATTTGTACATATATGTGACATACTGAATATGTGGAGGAAAAGAACTACGCAGATTTTGTATTCAGTAAAATACTGACCGTGATTCACCTCCGTCTTCATCAAGAGCGACAGCTAAAAGCAAAACTTCTTCCTCCAAAGACGGATCCATGACTATTTACCGCTGCGATACAGCGCGGTCTACCAAGTGCGCTCGGTAGACCGAAATACCGAGGTGATATACCGACTGCGATAATATCGCGTTCCTCGGAGTCCCGCGCCAGTGTGCGGATCTCCATTTATCGCAGTGTAATTAGATATCATCCCATACCATACCGAGCTGAGTATCGTGTCTGTGTGTGTGGGAGCCTTTACCCTGTATATTTCCTTCTACACTTCTGTATGCAGTTGCTTGATTCCAGTATCTTATATTTTTGCGTGCTGTGTGTGAACATCAAAGGGAGACTGATATAAAAGAGAGACAGGAAGACCACTTCAAATCTGAAACATTGAACATAAATACAACACAGAAATTGGAGATACATTGAAGTCCACATTAGGGTAACTAGGGCATTTCCTTACTCAGGAACGACAGTTTTCGTGCAGGCTATAATGTGAAGACCTAGGATCCTTGCCATCCCATATGTCCTGTGTTTTTGAACTTTGCACATAGCTTCACTTTTTGAGAAGTTTTTCTTCAGAAATGTATGAAGTTACATATATTGTCACCTGTTATTAGTGACTATTGATGGGGTTTCGATTGGATGATTGGATTTATTGCACTTGTATGCTCAACTCATAGCTACAAGTAATCTGGCTCTATCACTGATCTATACATTTTGCAGTTCACTGATACACACACTAGGGCTCTCTTTCTTCATTAGTCGCATCTTGGCAGCGGATTTCAACACAGTGCTTAATACCAGTCTCAATGTAATTGCAACACACATGAAGTCTTCTTTGCACAGCCTAATTCATTTCTTGCCATCTCAAGAGACTCTCTCAATTATATTTCAGCTGACTTGGGATTCTTGTTATTTAGTCTGAGGGTGGAACCAACAGAAAACACTGTTTCCAATGTTATAGCTAAACAGTAACTAAGTTGTTGCTTGCTGCTGTGGGAATTTGTTTACTGAGCCATTGCATGATAATGAACTCTGGCTTCACTATTCCCGCTTTCAAGCATCATGTCACAATATAAAATAATTTTGTTCTTATATTTTGGCTTACAAAAAACAGGATGCCACACTGTTAGACTGCAGAACATTTTCTATACATAGGATACCATGAAGCAAAGACTTGATCTTGTTGCAGGGCGGCTCAAGTGAGAATGAAGCAAGCAGTGTGGGCTCAAGGGTAAACATCCAGCAGAAGCTTCAAGAGAAGAAACAGAAGCAGCTTGCAGAATTACGTGTCATAGAGGAAGAGATCAAGCAAGGCAAGATTCAACGTCCTGGAGGTTCAGGTGGAACCCCTTCTGGTATTGGAGAAGACTTGGGGTCTCTGCCTCGACAGCCAATCCCACGTGCAAAGCGACATAACCAAGGAGGCTGGCCACCTCCCTCGCCACCAAGCTCACGTGCTTTACCTCCACCTTACACTTACCACCTGTTACCACCACCAAGAGCAAAACATCGGTCAAAAACACCAGAAATTTTGTTGGCTCCACACTATCTGGAGAGCAGTGGGTTGTACTATGGGTGGGAACATGAAAGGTCACCAGTTTACAGACTTTCAGATGATGAAGCTATAGACAGGTGTGTATCATTTGCTCTTTTTGTGCATTACTTCCCTACTCTTTGTCTTGGTTAATTCCTTGTTAATGCAGTGTCTTTTCTAACAGAGTTCTATAGTATAGTCTACAAACTTGCAATCATTTATCTCAATTCTCTGACTTAGTTTTGATTTATATATTGGATAATGAATGATTGAATGTATAAGGGGTGGGCCTTCTACGCCATTGCACCGCGACCTACAGTGATCTATTGTGCTTTGATTTATATATTGATTATTTATTTATATGTCAAGTACAGAGGTTTGTTAGCTTAAAAATGATTATTGAAGGTGATATGAAGTAATGTTACAGGAATGATTAGTTATTCTAACAGTCTTCACCTATAGGAAGTAAGAAAAACCATGCATAATCTCAAGACATCCAAAATTTGATCAGGTGTACACCAAACACAAGGCACATCTGAATGAAACCAGCTAATTTTAGCATCACATATTACAGTCTAGTATGTTTGCTTTTAACATTGATTGATGGGAAGTTCTGCATTTGCTGTAAAACTTTTAGTGCACCCATGAAGCAAGGTTATGACCTGCTTATATGTCTTGAAAATCTTGTTGCTTTAACTTTACTTGTGTTGTAAGCAGTCATTTACTCAGATGTGTTATTTTGTGTTCTAAAATGCCATGTGTCAGGTACACATTGGAATGTTGGGTATTCATGTGTGATAACTGTGTGAAAAATGATTCTACTAAGGACACATTTTCAGTGTAAATTTCGGGATGTTGTAGTTCCACATAAGTTAGATTTAGCTGGAGTACTGGAGGTCAGATGGGATGGAGGTGGCATCGCACCAGCAGGAGACTATACGTTTTTCTGTGGAAAGGGGAATGAAAATCATAAATTAGGTACAGGTTTTTTTGTACATAAGAGAATCGTATCAGCAGTTAAGAGGGTAGAGTTCATTAGTGATAGGATATCATGTGATATCATTGTTATGAATGTTCACGTCCCAACTGAAGATAAGATTGATGACATAAAGGATAGATTCTATGAAGAACTAGAACATGTCTTTGATAAATTCCCGAAGTACCCTATGAAAATTTTGTTAGGAGATTTCAATGCCAAAGTAGGGAGGGAAGACATTTTCAAACCAACGATTGGGAATGAGAGTTTGCGTGAAATTAGTAATGATAATGGAGTTAGAGTAGTAAACTTTGCCACATCAGAAAATCTTACTCTCAAAAGTACAATGTTCCCACATCGTACCAGCCATAAATTCACTTGGACATCTCCTGATAGGAAGATACACAATCAAGTAGACCATATTTTGATAGATAGGAGACGGCACTCAAGTACACTTGATGTCCGATCATTCAGGGCAGCAGATTACGATACTGACCACTACCTGGTGGTGGCAAAGGTTAAGGGAAGACTGACAGTGAGCAAACAAACAACACACAGAGTTCATATGAAGAGGTTCAATCTCAAGAAATTAAATGAGGTAGAGGGTAAAGAGCAGTACTGTGTTGATATCTCAAATAGGTTTGCGGCTTTGGAAAACTTGGACACTGAGGTGGAAGTTAATAAAGCTTGGGAAACTATTAGAGAGAATGTAAAACTGTCTGCCAAAGAGAGTCTAGGTTATTTTGAACCGAATAAGCATAAGGCATGGTTCGATGAAGGATGCTCAAAATTATTAGACCAAAAAAAAACAAACAAACCAAATTGCAATGGTTACAGGATCCAAGCGAGTTAAATGGGGATAATCTGAACAATTATAAGATGTGAAACCAGCAGGCATTTCAGGAACAAAAAGAGGGAATATCTGAAAGACAAAATGATGAGCTTGCAATGAACAGTAAGAACAAGAACATTAGAGACCTGTATAGAGGAATAAATGATTTTAAGAGGGGTTACCAGCCTAGCAGTAATTTAGTGAAGGATGAGAATGGTGATCTGCTTGCAGATTCCCGCAACAGTTTGAATAGGTGGAGGAACTACTTCTCTCAGTTATTGAATGTACATAGGGTCAGTGATGTTAGGCAGACAGAAATCCATACAGCTGAGCCGTTAATACCTGATCGTAGCCCTTTTGAGGTTGAAAGTGCTATTGCAAAATTGAAACGGTATAAATTGCCAGGTAGTGATCAAATTCCAGCACAACTTATTCCAAGCAGGAGGTGAAATATTACATTCTAAGATTCACGATCTAATTACTTCTATTTGGCATAAGGAAAAATTGCCTGATCAATGGAAGGAGTCTATTATTGTACCAGTTCACAAGAAGGGTGATAAAACTGACTGTAGTAATTATAGGAGGATATAACTGCTATCAACTTCATACAAAATTTTATCCAGTATTCTTCTCTCAAGGTTAAGTCCATGTATAGATGAAATTATTGAGGATCATCAGTGTGGTTTTCGATGTAACAGATCAACTACAGATCAGATCTTTTGCATTCATCAGATATTGGAGAAAAAATGGGAGTATGATGAGACAGTATGTCAACTATTCATAGACTTCCAGAAAGCCTATAATTCAGTTAGGAGGGAAGTATTGTACAATATTCTGATAGAGTTTGGGATACCCATGAAACTACTTAGGTTGATTAAAATGTGTTTAAACGAAACATATAGTAAAGTCCATGTAGGTAAACATTTGTCTGATAAATTTCCTATGCAGAATGTTCTAAAACAAGGAGATGCTTTATTGCCACTCCTTTTCAACTTTGCTTTAGAATATGCCATTAGGAAGGTCCAGGGAAACCAGGTGGGACTGAAATTAAACGGCCCACATCAGCTGTTGGTCTATGCCGATGATGTGAATCTACTGGGTGATAATATAGATACCATAAAGAAAAATACACAAACTTTAATTGACGCAAGTAAAGAGGTTGGTGTAGAAGTAAACACTGAGAAAACTAAGTATATGTTGCTGTCTCATCACCAAAATGCAGAGCAAAATCATGATTTAAAGTTAGGAAACAGATGTTTTGAAAATGTGGCACAGTTCAGATATTTGGGAACAATGATAACAGATCAAAACCTGATTCAGGAGGAAATTAAGAGGAGATTTAACTCTGGTAATGCTTGCTACCATTCAGTCCAGAACGTTTTGTCTTCTCATCTGCTGTCCAAAAACATAAAAATTAGAATATACAAAACTATAATTTTGCCTGTGGTTCTGTATGGGTGCGAAATGTGGTCTCTGACATTAAGGGAGGAACATAGACTGAGGGTGTTTGAGAACAGGGTGTTGAGGAGAATATTTGGACCGAAGAGAGATGAAGTGACAGGAGGATGGAGAAAACTGCATAATGAGGAGCTTCATTACTTGTACTCTTCTCCAAGTATAATTAGAATGATCAAGCCAAGGAGGATGAGGTGGGCAGGTCATGTAGCACAAATGGGGGAGACGAGGAATGCATATAGGATATTGGTGGGAAAGCCAGAAGGAAAGAGAACACAGGGAAGACCAAGGTATAGGTAAGTGGACAGTATTAAAATGGATGGGATGGTATGGATTGGATTGATCAGGGTCAGAGACTGGTGGAGGGCTCTTGTGAACACGGTACTGAATCTTCAGGTTCCATAAAATGCTGGAAAGTTCCTGAGTAGCAGCACAATTGGCGGTCCCCATCTGTAGTATGGGTCCTTTTATCATGCCGAGTCATATATGCTTGTCCAAAAGTACTTCATATTTGGGTTCCATTGATCACTACAGTAGAGCCTGTATATTCCTGCTCTGGTATCAGCCTCCATCTGCAATTGCAGTGGGGGAGTCCAATGGGGACCTCAGTTTCAGCTGTTAGAGCTGTTTTCATTTCTCCAGTAGTGCTCAAGCAGACCATCCTTTGCAATTTGCTAAGTTCAGCTCTGCTTGTTTTGAATTTGACCCTAGGCCACCACACAGTGTCAATGTAGGTAACTGTGGGTCTTACAACCACTGTGTATATCCAGTGTACCACCTTTGGCCTTAGCCAAGTTCTTCCAAACATTCCTATGCAGTTCCATGAAAGGCCCTATAGGCCTTGTTGGTTATCCTCTTCAGCTGCTTTTCCCTTGTCAGCCTCTTGTCTGAGGTAAGTCCAAGGTACTTGGCTTTACTGGACAGTTTCAAGGAAGGGAATGGGTTCCTTGAAGATCCCTAATGGCAGGTATTAATACAGTCTTATTAGGGTGATGGACCAGTTTTTCTATCCTACCATTGTTAGACTGTGCCTAGGGCTTTTTGTAAGACCTCGGTCACAGTCTGAGGGAATTTTTCTGTTGATTAGGATTGTGATATCAACTGCATATCCTACTGTATACTAGCCACTGTCATTAAGCCCCCATAGAAGTTTATCCACAGAAGGGGCAAAAGCCCACGTTCCTGCAGGCATCTCTAGCTGTGGACATCTTCAAGGTTTCTCCTGAGAAAGTGGTTATTACGTTTCTGCTTTCCTTCATGGAGCAGATCCACCTGCAAATGGTAGGCCCAATACCATGTCTCCCAGCAGCCTACTGTTACTGCCTCATATCTTTAGCCATGGTAGAGGGGTCATACCATCTCTCGTGGAGCGGGGGAGAGCAGTCTTGTCAGCCTACGTCAGCGTGGGTACTACCAGTTTGGAATGTAGCGTCTTGGAGTGTGGTCAGGTGTATAGTACTACTCCTGGTCTCCGTAGGCAATGTTTTCCACTCAGGGAGTAGCTCTGAACAGCCCCACAGCAAGGGTATAGCTTTGCGTGCCCCACAACAGCGTTTACCTTTCCGCGCAGCTAAAGTTACCAGGCAGTAACAGTATGTTAATAAGTGGTTCTGTCAAAAGCTCTCTCTATGTCAAGGAATGCTCCTAGGGCTAATTCCTTGATCCACTAGTGGTTTATGTCCATGTTACCACATTGTGAAGTGCAGTTACCGTGGATTTACCAGTTTAGTAAAGATGTTTGTTTTGATGCAAAGGTTACTCCTTCAATTTACCATCCCTAATATGTCTATCCACGAACTTCTCCATCATCTTCAGAAGGAAAGATGACAGGCTGA